CGAGGCACTGCTTATATATTCAATTGCCCAGTAATATTGATGGGACGGTACGGGCTCTCTGGATGCCTCACAATTCCTCTCTCTCGGGCGTGTCTGAATCCATGCATCCTTTTGATGGAGACAAAGCTCACATTTCATGTTTGGGCTTGTCTGCAGCATGTGGTTTGCCATTTTTTACCCAGAGCACTTGCTTGAAGTTGCTTCCTGCACGGGGGTCTAATTTTGTGACATCCAGCGTCATCAAAGTGACCTCTGAATTAAAAAAAATAAAAATCGTTTACGCGATTATCCAGTGCGTGAGAATGAGTGTGGTGTCTTGGGGTGGATGCCTTGGCATTGAGAAAGAAACGACGCAATCAAGATTGGGAACTTTGAGTTAGCGCCTGTTTTCTGGCTTTGTGTGGTCATCTCCTCGACTTCATCACTTCTGTTTGCGAGCGGGCAACATTGATGGTGGTCATGTGCATTGATCGTTTGATTTCCACTGTGGTGGTTGTTCAGTGCGAGGAGGTCATCGAGGCAACTTTGAACCTTTTCCAAGATCTCGCATCAGGGTAAGTACCTTTCCTGTCTTCAGGGCACGGTTGGATATCTGCGCAGCTTTGATTTTCCTGTAGCTGCGCTCTGATAGATGCAGGCTACCGTCTTCACTGTATCTAGAAGTAGACTTCAAGTTGCCCTAAATACAGCTGTAGTTATCACTGTATCTAGTAGACTTTAAATTGCCCTAGATACAGCTATAATGACCGGGCGGGCTATTTGTTCGGGTGAAGATGGTAGATCCTATCTGGTCTGTGAATACCCGCTCAGGTCAGTTATCACTGTATCTAGACTTAAATCACTGTATCTAGACTTGAAGTTGCCCTAAATACAGCTATAATGACCGGGCGGGGGTTTTATTCGGGTGAAGAAGGTAGATCATATCTGGTCTGTGAATACCCCCTCACGTCAGGTCACATCTGGTCTGTAAATACCCACTCAAGTAGTAAGTACCTTTCCTGTCTTCAGGGCGCGGTTGGATATCTGCGCAGCTTTGATTTTCCTGTAGCTGCGCTCTAATAGATGCGGGCTACCATCTTCACTGTATCTAGAAGTAGACTTTAAGTTGCCCTAAATACAGCTATAGTTATCACTGTATCTATTAGACTTTAAGTTGCACTAAATACAGTATAATGACCGGGCGGGCGTTTTGTTCGGGTGAAGATGGTAGATCATATCTGGTCTGTGAATACCCACTCACGTCAGGTCACAATCAGACAATCAAAGCCCATGGAGATGCATCGAACCTGGATCCCAGAAATCCTAGACAGACCTAAATCCAAGCAGGGCTCTGTGTAGCTGATAACGTCAGAACTCGTGGGCATCACCTGAAAACACCAGCGGCTGAACTGACCACCAGGACGATTGGCCTCTCTGTCAAATCACGGACAGGCAAGCAAGGCCCTCAGAGAATATCCCCTACCAGCCTACCAGGGGTATATATCATATTCGGAAACCCCAAACTGATAAACCAAACTCGTTCTCGACAAGTGAAGGCTCCTTGCTTTCTCTTGTCTTTTGCGTTAGCTCCTTATCTTCTTCCTACGCCTCTACTGCCTCCTTTCTTATCCTTTAGCGCCTTATTTTCTTTCTGCTCCTCTTACCTCCTCCTTGCTCGTCCATTAGGGATGGTCCCCGGATTGTGCTGGTCGTTGAGTAGTCAAAGCATGCCCACTTTTCCAGATCGAAGCAAGCAAGATGGACATTATCTTTCATTTCTGCTCGACTCTGCCATTGCCTTGCACCCTATGTCACCGCTCTCTCTCTCTCTCTCTCTCTCTCTCTCTCTCTCTCTCTCTCTCTCTCTCTCTCTCTCTCTCTCTC